CCCACGCCAGCCACGGGCACACGTCTGTGCTCGCATCCTTGGGGCAGGGTCTCCCTTACTCCGGTGAGTGCAGCTGGGCTGGGCAGGGGTCTTGCTTCGCTGCCAGCTGCACTGGTTTGAGTCTGTGGGAGGTTCCTGGTGCGATGAAGCTTGTTGCTTGGTTTTTCTACAGAAATGAACTCTTTTTTTTTTCTTGGACTTCTGTTGGCCAAGTGAGGGACATGCTGATGGGACCAGCTGCGTTCCCTCATCTCTCTCCCTGCATCGGGGAGCAGACATGGAAGAGGGTTTGCACCAGCTGATCCGTTCCATCAGGCAAACTGTTGGCTCAATGCAAGCCCTCGGAGCCAGAGCTGGGGGCACGGAGCCTCTGCTGTCCCACCTCGGGCACTCTCAGGCTGCGCATCGCGAGTCCGTTCACGTCTTCTCCACCACGACTTCTGCCATGCCTGCAGTGCTTGTCCTCGTCCTCCTCCTCATCCCTGTGGCCAGAGAGCCTGGAGTGGGAGGAGGTGGCACGCTGCGGTGCTGCGCAGTGTTGGAGGAAGTCCCCTTGGCAAGGAGGCATGTTAGTCATTGGCATCCCAGGAGCATCCTCCATGTCCTGACAGTGGCTGGAGCATTTCCCCTCTGCAGCAGGAGCACCATGGAGGGCAGTGGGGGGAAAGATCCAGCCAAATTACAACCCAGCCGTGCAGGGGGAGATGCCACAAGCTGGGGGGACACACATAACTCTCCCTTTGGTGGCACGTGCCAGCCCCCAGCGCGCTGTTCTGCGTGGAGATGCGCTTCTCTTCTCTTGTCAAGGATGAACTTCCCATTAAAACATCACCTCCTCGCAGCTCCCGTAGTCGCTCTCCACCATGTCGGAGCCCTCATAGTTGGGGGGTGGAAGGGGCTGGGCTCGAATGCTGGGCTGGTGGCCCACCTCGCAGTCTGCGTAGGAGGGCTGGGCCACGCTCAGGCGCATGCTCACCCGCTTGTAGCCTGGCTCGGGCTGGTACGGGACACCCTCGCCCTGCACCAGCTGGGCTGGGTAGTAGCTGATGGCTGTGTATTCATTCTGGCACTGGGATGCTCCCATGTCCACGGGGCCAAGAGGCAAGAAGTCCTCCAGGTTCTGGTTGCTGTAGCGGGGCGGGATGGGGGCTCGCTTGTTGCTCTGGTCCAGTGGGAAGGGAAAGCCCCCGTAAAGAGCGACTGGCTCCGTGTCCGCTGGTGGAGGGGGCGGTGGGGGCAGAGGAGGGTGGGAGGAGGATGCAGGGGGGCCTTGTATGATCTCGTAGTGGGAATATTCCTGGACGTCTGATGACAGGTACCGGGGGGGCCAGTAGGTTGTTTCTGCTGGGTAGACTGGAATAAAACAGAGTTGTGTTAGCTCCAGTTCAAGGTGACGTTTTCCCTCTCTTGCCATCCTGTCAGTTCCTTCTGTAGGCTTTGAGCCTGCAGGAGATGTGGCAGACCAGGGAAGAGAGAAGATGTGGGAACAGGGAAGCTGTATCTGCTGCCTTGGGAAATGAGGGGACTTGGGAGCAGCCCTGGCTGTGCTGGGGCAGTGTTCCCACCGACGCATCACCTGCTCTAGCACCCAAAAGACACACTTCATCATGCCTTTTGGATGCAAGAAGTTTGCATGATGAAGGGATGGGGGCAGAGCAAGTGATCCACTGGGTCTTTCCCTTCCTCTGGAGTTACTCTCATGAACTCTCTTCTCACAGTGTGCTTTGGTGATGAACTCCTGGACTGGGAGGAAGCAGTAACCCTGCTGTCAAGAGCTGTGCAAGGGGTTTCCCTGAGGGAATGATCCCTCTGTCTGGGGACATTGATGGAAATGACTCTGCTAGAACTCACACTGACTTTTAGGATCTTAATTTTTTCCCTCTTGGGTTCATTATTCTCTTCTATAGGGTCTTTTGACCCAGGATGTGTGGGAAACCAAGCTATGCATGGATGGTTTCCCTGCTGATGGTGTACGAGACTGAGCAGGTTAAAGCTGAAAACTGGGATGTACTGGTGAGTGGGAAGGGAAGAGCCAATAAAGGACCTATAGCAGAGCTCAGGCAGCATTTGACGCTACTTTACTTGGCTTTTACCAACGCTGTGGTCCCTCATGTTTGCAAACCTTCGATCTACTAAGGGGGAATAGAGAGACATGTAAGAGAAAGAAAAAGCTGTGGTACTGACCCATCTCCTCCCTGGCCCAGGTGCACTTGATGAAGGACTCGTTGTCGGAGTTGGAGGGGGGCGCGGCAGGGGGCAGGTTGGGTGCCACGCTGCACACGATGGTGCCCCGGTGCTTTGGGGCGTTGGCTGAGTTGAAGGTGACGAACTCGGGGGTGCTGGTGGGCTTGCGCTGCTCCGGCGTGGCCCGGTCCAGGTTGTTGTGCACTGTATCGCTGAGGATGTTGAGCTCGATGGGTGGCACGGCTTGGGTGCCCACACCCACGCTCTTGGAGAACTCACTCTTGGAGAGCAGGTCGGGGTCCTCCCGGGCCACGGGCTTGTGTGCCTTGGCCCGCTGGCGGTAGCGCTTGCGGATGAGCACGAAGGCCACGGCCAGGATGGCCACCCCCAGCACGCCGGCTGCGATCTCCGCGATCTCCTCGGGGCCCACTGCCCACTGTGTGGGCACGATGGCGGGGGTGATGATAGGCTGTGTGCAGTAGTCCCCCTGGTAATCCGATGGGCAGATGCAGTGGACGGAGCCCTGGTTGCTCACGCAGCGCCCGGCGTTTCGGCATGGGTTGTCTTGGCACTCCTCAGCCAGCTTCTCGCACCTGTAGTGGGGACAGGGTGGAGATAACCACCGTCAGCCTGGGGATGCAGCCAAAACTGCGTCATCCTATTCAGGGCTCTGATGTACACCAGCCAAGGATGCTCTGTCCTGGTCTGCTCTCCCTCTCCTGCTAGACTCCTGCTACCCGCCCTTCCTGGCAGAGGACCATGATCTCCGAATATAAAATAAATGATGCTTTTCAGGAGACTATGTTTTACAGGATGCTTCTGTTTTTCAGTCATATGCAGCAAATGAAAACGGGGGAGCTTCCTGCCTCAGAGGAGTATTTGGAGTTTCTAGGGCTAACACTGCATAGAGGGATGCTTCCATACTGTTAAATTAGGGAGCCCAGGGTCACTCTGAGATGTGTTAGCCTCTTATGAAGTCTCGCATGTCCTCCAGGCTCTGTGGCTCTCAGGGTGATCTGTGGATGGCTGCAGATGGCAGCAAACATTTGGGGAACATCTAGCCTGACACGTGGTGAATGGGCAACCTTGTAAGAGGTTTTTTTGGCGCCTTATGGAGCATCTGCAGAACTGAGACTGAATTTCTGATTCTCTGTCCTGCTCAACCCCACACAACCTAAACATTCCCCAGCAGTTCAGGGGACCTTTCCTTCCAACAGTAATGATCTCCTCATGCTAGAGGGAATATGCAATGCTTTGTTGGCCTTCCTTGCCTTCCTTGCCTACAAACTCTGTGAGATTTGGGCTCCTCTTGTTTCTTAGTGTTTTGGGATGTGTGAACTGACATGTGCAATGTGCACCCATGTTTGCCGGCTGGACAACGGGTGATTTCAGATATTACACTGCCACCTAATGCTCAGCTACCGACTTTTATTCCAAGAGTTGCACAAACAATTTCTGCTGCTGCATTGATTCAAAGGACCAGTGTTTGTCCTTGCTAAAGGGCTGAGGCAGAAGGACATGATGCTGTTTGAGCCTGTGCTGGGCGTTTCTCACCAGGCTGGGCTGGAGGCAGGGCAGGGGGCTCAGAGTGGGTACGTAGCTGCAGGGAAGAATGTATCCAAGCTATAACACTGATGGTGAGAACTTGAAGGTGATATGAATTGTAGGGTTCAGGGCCAAAGCCAAACACTCCAACACCTTGTGATAATGTGGATTCATTGGCTACCTGACAGGAGAGGGGGAATGGCATCCTGGCCCTGCTTTTCAGCGTAGCACCCTGTCCTGAACTGAGCTGTGAATTGGGTGAATCGTGGCTGTGACCTGGGACAGAAGTTCCCCTTGGATGAGCCCTGCAGAGCCGGTCTTGGGCAGAAACAGCCCCTATAGCACCCAGGGTGGGTGTCCCAGCTATTGAGGGAAGGGACAGCTCACAACTGTGCTAGCCAACCTCCCCCCAGCCTTGAGTGTCCTCCTGGCACCCAGCACAGTATGGGCCCGTGCCCTGCTCCCAGGCAGCTCTGGCCTCAGGGAAGATGCCACCATCGCGGCCGAGCTCAGCTCACACCTTGGGGAGGAGCAGCGTGTGGGGAGAGACTCTTCTCTCGCAAGGAGAGGATTTCAGCCCGTACCAGGCATGACATCTGCAGGCATTCAAAGCATCTGTGAGGAAAGGGGATTTAAAAAAAAAATTTTCTTCTTGCTCAGAGGAGATGGGCACAGAGGAGCAATGACCACATGATGGCAGAGCTCTTTGTGTCCTGGTCTGCCCAGCTGTGCCTTCGGACGCTTCCCTGCTGCAATGCTCCAGTACATGTAATCTGCAATGAATCCCAGAGCGTCTGGATCTGGTGAGCTCCAGAAATGTGCAATAGAGAGGTAGAATCGTGTTTTCAGCCCAGCATGGGAGATCACCTGGCCCAAAGCCTTCCAAGATCTTACCTTTCTCCCAGGTACCAGGGGTTAGCCAGTGGCAGAGGGGGTGCAGGTTCCGCCGTGCAGGCAGGGCTTGGACTCACAGGGACTGTCCCCCAGCTCACAGCGCTCACCAGAAAACAGCCCAGGGCAGATGCAGGTGTAACCTGGAGAGGGTGAGAGAGTGTCATACAGAGACCGTATCCGCACAGAAGAACTAGCAAGGACAGGGAGGAGCAGTGCCTGGTGCTGATGGCACCCACAGAGACCTCGATCCGGCTACTTAAGCATAGACACTTGCTGCTGCTGGCGGTGCTGTGGGGCACCCAGACCATCCACGGAGGGCTGGTGGGTACGTTACAGGACCTGGAGCAGTCGCTGGAGGCTGGGTGGCCACTCTGGGGCAATGCAATGGCACTAGAGAACTGCTTAAGCAACATGTCAAGCCTGTGCTCTCCTGATACAGACCCTCTCCCACCAGGGATGCGTTCAGGGTGCAGCTTTATTACACAGAGAAGCTGGGAGATAAATCAGGTTAAAGGAAAGGGAGCCTGGCTGGCTGATTCATGGTTTCTGACTCTGCTAAATGCAATCCTCTGTAAGTTATTGTTCCCTGAAGTCTTTGGTCCTGCGAGTTCTCGTGGTATGAAGTGCCTGTCTCAACACGTCGGGTTTCTCTTGCCTACAGGAGGTGTCTGGTCGCAGCCAGAGAGAAACCTGGCTTACCTGGGGACTTGGAGGGGGCTGCTGCTGCTTGTGTTCTTGGCTGCTGTTTAGTGTAGCCTTAAGCACAGGAATGTCCCTGGCTGTGCTGAGCTCCTGTAAGTCACTCAACTGGTGGTGCTATGTGGAAAGTTCAGAGTTTCTACCTTGCAGCATGCTTGAGAAGTCTTAGCTACTCGTCCACAAGCTAAACATCCCTGCTTCAGAGCACAGGGTGAATGAATGCAGACCTGTTTCCACAGGCGTGTTAGTGGTTGTACAACAAGGACGTGCTGACACTCGTGCGGCAGGTGCTGGACGTTGCTGGTAGGGCTGTGTGTGCCCAAACACATGTGTTCCTGGATGCGGGAGTTCACATGTGTTTGCACCTGTGGTCCTGAGCACTGTGGTTGATGTGGTGGCTGGTCTGGCTTTGACCCTTTCCGCACAGATGTGTTCTCACGTGGCCACGTGGCTTACCTGGGCTTGCTTGCACAGACCTGTCTTTGCCTGT